AAGGGCAAAATAGTTTCTGCTGGGTATTGAGGGGGTGGGGGGAAGAGGGGGGGCGGGGTGGGTGGTAAGGGAGGGGGTGGGGGCAGGGGGGAGAAATGACCCAAGCCTTGTATGCACATATGAATAATAAAAGAAAACAAAAACAGAATTGTGTTGTTCAGTTTCCAAGTGTGTGGAGAGACTTCCCAATATATCTCTGTTGTTCTAGCATGACTGCCAGTGGTCAGAAGACACTTTCTGTATGGCTTCAATTCTTTTAAGTGTCTTTGAAGTTCATCTTATGACCCAGGATAGGATCTATCTTGTCATAGGCTCTGTGGATGTTGAAAGGATAGTGTCTCGCTGTGGTAGGGTGAGGGTCCTACAGATGTCAGTTAGATCACGTTGTTTGATGACATGGCTCAGTTCTTCAGCATCACTGTTGGTGACTGTCTACCTGTTCTCAATGCTGGGAGGGGGTGTTGACATCTCCAACCACAGTCGTGGATTTGTCTGTTTCTGCTTTCAGTTCCATGAGGTTGGCTTCACATACTGTGCAGCCCTGTTGCTTGGGGCATACATATTTAGGGTTTCTAAGTCTTATTTGTGGAGTGGCACATTTATCAATGTCCCTCTCTGTTCTTTTTTTCTGTTCTGATGTCTTTTTACCTAATATTTTAATCATGCTTTTGATTTCTTTTGATTAATGCCTGCATATTATATTTTCTCCATTTTGTTACTTTCAACTCATCTTTATTGCTATATTTGAAGCAAATTTTTTTTAGACAGCATACAGTTGGATCATGATTTTTAAGTCACTCTTCCAATCACTATCTTCTAATTCATATATTTAGGCCATTTATGTTTAATGTGATTATTAATCTATTAGAGATGTAACAGGGTTGCTATAAAAAAGTACTACACACTGAGATGCTAATGATGGTGTGACTTATAGCTCAGTGGTAGAGAGCTTCCTAGCATGCATGAGGTCCTGGCTCAATAATCAGCAGTGGAAAAAAGCCCCAGAAATTTACTTCTACTCAGCTATGGCCAGAAGTCTGAGATCTAGTGACATTTGGAAGGCAGAAAGTTTAATAAAAGGTATACCAGTGAGAAATACCCAGAGAGACCCAGTCCTCCTGAGGACCATCTGAGATAGGGTGGAACTTATCATTTCAGAGGGAAGAAGGAGCCCAGTCCGTTTATCCTACTGGTTGCTATCCCTATGAATTAGGAATGCATGTTAGTCTAGGTCAGTTTTTTCATTGCTGTGATAAATAGCTAGGAGACCAATTTAAAAGAAGGAAGGTTTTATTTTCATTCATGTTTTCAGTCCATGCTTGTTTGACCCCTTTGCTGTGGGGCAGAGTATTATGGCAGAGAGAGAGAAAAGACAGGAAGAGGCCAAGGCAGGATATGGCTCCAAAGACATATCAGCACTGACCTATTTCCTCCAGCTAGGCTCTACCCTCTAAAGTTTCCAAAACCTCCCACATATCACTAGCTGGGACTGAGCCTTCCACACAGGAGCCTGTGGGGGCACTTCACACGCAAACCACAACAGTACGCTGATTCATCTCACATCTGCTTTTCAAGGCTGTGTGTCGGGAAAACACAGAAGGGAGGATGCAGGTGCTTGAAGAGGGAAGCTGTGAACCCCATCAGTGTACTGGGAACTATCTACGACAGCTGAGGAGACTGAGAGGGTCAGTCATCAGCACCTCAGCCATAGTCCCCCCTGGCATGGACTCACTCATACTCCAAATAAATTTATTTGTGTAGCTGAGCTTTCAGAGTGGTAAGGGCCATAGTCAAATAATTAAACCTAGATGGTTAGGGGAGCAAGCTACAGTCCCACTGTTCATTTACTGACATTCATCTCAAGCTTCCTGTATGCCTTCTAGATGAGCCACAATCCCAGCTGCACATCCTCTGGCATGGTGCTGTTGGTGGTGTCATCAAAGTCTACGTATATGTGGATTTTGTATGAAACCCAAACACTGTCCCTAGAAATTAGCTGCACTGAGAGGCTGTGATCACCCTGAAACTCAGTAGCAAAGGGATGTGACCAAAAGGGTGAGAGCTATAGATGTAGAGTAGGGTCAGCACATCAGAACTACCACCAGAAGGGAATGGAGCCCTGCAGAGATATGCCTCAGGCTATGGAGCAATGGATTTGGGAAACCATTCCCCTTCTGTCGTACTATCTCCTAGTGGGGACCCTGGAGATCTCCCAGTGTCTACAGTGGGTTGACCCCAGCCTCCTTCCCTACTGTCTCCAGAGTCTATAGAGTACCCTCTATAGACTTTGACTTCATGTTTTAGCTTTTGTCACCACAATTTCCTGCCCCACCTCCTCCCAATGGTGTCCACTAAAACTTCAGCTTAACCGGTATCTAAGAAGATAGTTGGTAGAACTTGGTAGAGTTCTGCCTGCTGGGACAAAGGGCAAGAAGAGTGGATTACAGGAAACACCTGGAAATTTCCATCGACACAAAGCAGAGGATTCATGGTGGCAACCATGCTCTGTCAATCCTGTGTTACGTGTTGCTCCCCACCTGTCTCAAAGATTGAATTATTGTGCCAATGTCATAAGATGCTTTGATCAATAATTCACCAACAGGGAGTAAAGTCAAGGTTGTTTGGGGTACAGGCAAAAAGAATGGAAAACAGAAAATTCTCCCCTCCATGAAGACTCACTGATCTCTGGTCCTAAAGAGCATGATCCCCACCCTTTCCAGGTCCCACTCTCCCCACACCACCCCACTTCCATGCTGGGTTCAAGTACTGGCTGATGCCAGCACCTTCAGGACCACCCCAGGGTTTACTAGAGAGGGCTCATTAGTATTGTTTGTTGAGTATTTGATGCTGTCCAATCAGGCCAGAGAGGCACAAAGATGCCATTGTGGGGCCCCGGCACCTGCCTCCAGAGCCTGAGTCAGCTGGAAGGTGAACAGTAGGGTCAGGAGGGACAAGGCAAAGTTCTTACTTCCTTAGGGAAGGAGTGGGACTGATGCCAGCACAGAGGGCAACCAGGGAAGCCCAGCCACGAGTTCTGAACTCATACAGACACATGGCCTCCTTGTGCTTCTCCTGCCCATTTATACAAAGGGAATGGGATTTGCACCTACACTAGGGGCTCTGCGTGGTCAAAGCTGATGAGGGAGGGGAAGCCAGTGGGAAGTCAGAGGCTCCAGCAGAATGAAGTCAAGACAGTTGCCTGAGTGCGGGCTCACAACAGGCTGATGTGGTCCCTTGCCCTGAATCCCACACCAGGCTAGAAAGTGGGGAAGAAACCAATGTCCATGTAGTCTCCATTGTCTCAGGGCAGCCTGGGGCTCCAAGTGTCCTCTCAGCAGTTCTTCATCTTACCAAAGCAGCAGTAGAGGATCTAAGTCTCCTTGTTAGACATGAGCCCTGTTGGCTTAACAGAGGTGAACTAACTTGGCTTCTTCCTCTAGTGGACAAATATTCGTGACCCCAAAATTGTGGCTAAAACTATGCATGCAGCCCAGATGAAATTGTAACCATTGTGTGTGGGGGTGTCAAGCCCCTCCTTTTAGGGAACTTAAATTATACCTGAGGAGATGGCCGATGGACAAAGATAGGAAAGTGGAAGGAGACAGCTGAGAGTGTGATGTGCTATAAGAAAGTACAGCTGGCTTTGGGGTGCAGAACCAAGCAGGTTGGGGTGATGTTGCTCCCTAGTGTGGCCTGGGGTCTGCTCTGAGGAGGTGATATTTAAATTGACCCTGAGTCATAAAATACTGCCCCACCCTCAGGAAGACCTAGGATGTCGGGTCACAGACAGGGAAGGGCAGTGAGGGTGTCTCCCAGGGCAGGGGACTTGGGTTCAGAGGAATCAGTGGGACTGTCTGTGGTTCAGCTTTGTCCCTTCCTTGGCAGCAGGAGGTGAGACTCCTGTTTCTCAGTGAACTCGATTCAGGCCAGGCATGGACAGATGGAGGACAGAGTGGGGAGGGAGCATGAGGAAGCCAGGGCCCTTCCTCCCTGGCTCAAAGTGCTGACACCTGTGCCACCCCCATACTTGAATGAGGTGTCCCCTCCAGGTGGGCTGTTCTGTGAGCAGCACCATTGGGTGGTACAAACATGGACATATTGTGCGTCTTTCATCTTTAGTTGGCACTGAATTGCTATTCATCAGATCCCAAAAATAATAAAATCCACCTCCATGATGGGTGTGGATTTGGCCCTGACAGATGGACAGGAGGGGTGTGGTCAGTGTCAAGTGGGCACAGGCCACTGGCCACAGGGACATAAAGGGCACCTGTGAGGAGCCAGGACAGCCTCCTCCAGACACCACAGGTGACCTGCCTTGTCTGTGAGCACAGAGCCTAGAGATGAAGACTCTTCTCTTGACCACTGTGCTGCTCGGACTGGTGGCCACCCTGCAGGCCCAGGACTCCATTCCCTTGCTATCGGAGGAGAAGAATGTGAGGCTGGGTGGGGTGATGGGTAGGAGAAAGGTGTGATGGCAGACAGTGGTGGACCTGAGCACTGTTTCAGTCTGAGAGTCAGCTGGGTTCTGACTCTGCAGTCTAGCCTGGAGTGGTCAGAGTTCAGGGGTCTCTGTTGTTCCCCGGCAGACACAGACCCTCCTAGGCACAGGGCTGGAGCAATGGCACAGGTTTGGCTCAGGGTCCTGTTGTATCAAAAGGCCTCACAGAGGAGGACCTTAGGAGTGAGGACTTACCTGGTCTGGGGCCTGCACACCAAAGGGGACTTATTCTTGGAGGACAGACCCCTGTGACTCCTCTGGGGGCTGGGAGCTGGGAGTCCTGGGCTCTCTTTTCTGGGCACAGGGATGTGGTCGTGTGGGGAAGTCATAGCCTGGGCTCTGGAAATGCCTGTCTAGGCTGCAGGCTGTGTGTTGGGGATTTAGGGTGAGAATCTGAGTGGGCAGTGATGGTCTCATGGTGTGACCTGTTCCAGCTTGCAGGGACTTGGTATATGAAGGCCATAGTGACCAATAACAAACAGATAGACAAGAAAAGGCGTGGATGGCGTATCCCATTACAGTGACAGATTTGGAGGGTGAGCACTTTGAGGTCACAGTCACCATCATGTGAGTGTTCCCCGCAGCGGGTCTTCCCAGTCCAACTATTTTCCCCTTCCCACATTTTGGGGGTTGGTAACCCAAAGTTCCCTGACTTTGAGAGAACACAGACCCAGACAATATCAAAAAGCTCAGGCAGGGGTAGGGTGAAATTTTCAAGGATACCTGCTCAGGGCTGATGCACCAGGTGAACTGGGCAGGGCTCAGTTACGTGTCCTAAGAGCAGCTTCCTATGGGCACTCTGTTTTCCAGATATAAGGGTCGGTGTCGCAACAAGAAACTTCTGATACATACTGAGGATTCCAGAAAATTCAGGCATGGTGAGTCTGGGCTGGCAGGGCCTGAGCTCTGGAGACAGGAGGGCTCCCGCCCTGTCTACCTCCTAGAGGGGCTACCTCTCCCTTCCCAGGTGCCTTGTGCTCCTGACACTAGATACCAGGTATCACAGGCTTGTCCACAGCAGGGATGGACCAGGCCATGCCTCCCTCTGAGTGGTCCTAGTTATTGATCCACAGGGAAACTGAGGCCTACGGGTCTGCAAAGCAAGGCAGGATAGAGGTAGGGACTGGGACCAAGCTCCCACCTTGAGCTGCTTAACCATCTGGACTCCCGGCTGGGTTGGCACCTTCCTGGGGATGGGGAACTCATGTCCAGCAACAGGAGGATCCTAGAGTGACAGAGGCCACAGCAAGGCCTGGGCTTAGACTGGCTTGGTCTCCTGGTGACCACCTAAATGTTCATAGTGCTCCTTAATGAGATCTTGGATGCTTTCTCGAGAACAAAGATGCTAAAAAGCCATTTTCTCTGTTCATCTATAGCTCAGGGCAAGGAGCTTTTATTCATCAAGAAGCTGTCAGTGAAGGACCACGTCATCTTTTACTGTGAAGGCTCTCACCAAGGGAAAATATTCCGTATGGGAATGCTCATGGGTGAGGGTCCACCTGAGATCCCCCGTCTCCTGCCAGAAGCCAGGGGAATGGGCAGCAGCTGCACCCTGGCACTGGGAGGCTAAGAAGCTGCTGGCTGGCTTCTGGGTGCTGCTTGGGGCGTCCAAGCTCTGAAGAAGGAAGTGAGTCGTCAGGCAGGGACTGTCAAAGACAGGAACTGACATGGCCCTCAGAGACTTGACCACTCAGGAGGGGTTCCAGCTGTTAAGAGCCACTTCCTTTGAGCTAAGGCATGGGAAGAGTCACCATGAAGATGGGAGAACCCCGACAGAGGTTCTCATGGGGCAGAGACCCTCAAGGACCAGGGGCTATCCAGTGTCCCTGACAAGCAGAGTTCTTCCAGGTCAGGGGTGTGAACCTGGTGGCCTGCTCAGGAGTAGCCTGGCTCCTGAAGGTCTCTCAGTGGCTGAGGGTGTCCCCGCTCCAGAGCTCCTCGTCTACTGTGTGGCCACCGTCCCCTCCTTCCTGTCCCTGGTGCTGGCTGGTGCTTGTGTCCTTGTGTCACCAGTTCCATATGGAGCCTTCACCCCTCTGCTCACCTGATCACTCCCCCACAGGGAGGAACCCCAAGGAAAACTCACAGGCCCTGGAAGAGTTTAAGAAATTTACTTGGAGCAAGGGACTCTTGCAGGAGAACATCTTCATACTGAAGCAGAAGGGTGAGGGTCTTCTGTGCACATCCCTCCCCTGAGTCCTTTTGATGTTCTTTCATGTACCCTGTCCTCTCACAGGGACATTGGGGCCCTGCTTTGTGTTTTGGTCATGGGAGGGTCTGAGTTGTGGATGTGATGGAGGCTGGGTCTTTGCCCAGAACATTTTCTCACCCCTGGGTTTTTCTCCATTTCCGTAGAACCCTGTGTCCCTGAGCACTACTAAGGTAAGTGACCCTCTGGGAGGACAGTGGAGAATTTCAGAGACCTGGGCTCTGTTTTTTGAGGGTCCATTTGCTATAGCCCTGATTCCATCCAATAGGCAGGAGAGACCCAGGGCCTGACCAGACAAGAGTGGTCACCACAGGAGCTGACAGAGTGTGATTCCCGGAACATTTGGAAAGTCCTTTCTTTAACCAGCAACCTTTCATGAGAGCCTGTTTGGAGGCTGAAGCGAGGGAGCGCAGTTTCTCATATAACCTTGAATGAAGAATAGTCCTCCTCTATCAGGAAAGGTTGTCCTCTTGAATTGAGCACATAGGTCAGGAGGGACAGCCATGGAGCAATAAGGGAAGAAGGGGACATCCACCTAGCCAACCAGATCAGCTGAATCAACTTTGGTGCTCAATGTGACAGATGTGACAACCAGATCACCCTCGCATTCCAATGTCCTTTCTTTTATCAACATCCTCCCCAAGGTTCTACTTGGTCTAATACCACACCCCAAATACCTACCATGGATGCCCAGAGACCTGGCTGGTCATGAAGAGGCAGGGGTGGCTCTTGGGTCCACAGCTGCCCAGCAGGCAGTGCATGGCACAGAAGCTTGGGAAAGGCAATCTTTGGCCCCAGTTGTCCCCTGTGCAGCTCCTGCTGGCTGCTGCTCCCATGGAAGGGAATTCATCTCTGCTGCTCTTCTATCACAACAGCCACCCAGGTTTACACCTCCTGAGCTAACCCTGCTTCCAGCACAGAGCTGGGACCTCCCTGCACTACCTCTCCTGCCTGGACCACCCTCATGCTTAGACTACCCATCTTCCTTACACCATCTCTCCTGCCTTAGCCCTCTGCCCCCGCCCCAACCCTGCCTCACTTCAAATAAAGTGCTTCAGCAGATGCTCTGGGCTCAGCATATCTGTGGAGGGACCTTGGGTTGGTTCCCTAAGATCTCTGATAGGATAGGGAGCCATGGGGAGATGTTGGACCCAGCAGGGTCTAGACCCCAAGGTGATGGGGCCCAGGTGATCAGGTGATGTCCTAAAGGCTCCTCTGATGATCCTCTACCACAAGTGGCTTTGGAAGATATGGGGCCCTGGGCAGAAGCATGTGGGAAGTGACTGTAGAGGCTAGGACAGGAGACATGGTGTCAGGACTGCAGGCAGTATGCAGGTCTCTGGCTCAGCTCCTGCCCCAGTGGGACTGTGTGGGATCCTAGGAGGAGCCCAACTTTGAGCAGCATGGTCTCAGTGGCAGAGGTAGAGGGAGGGTTACCAGATCCTCATTCTTCACTCCTCAATCAAAATCAAGCTGATCACAACCTCCATAGGTCCTTGTCCCCATCTTGGCTCTCCTATGGTTTGTCCAGGGGCCAGGGTCTGTGCAGATAGTGACCCACATGTATATGGAGGGCCACAGGGACAGAGGAGAGGCTCTGTACCCCAGATGATTAATTTGTCCCCAAACCAGAAATTCCAAAAGGAATGTGGGTTCCCAGAGGACAAGTCTACAAATTGTCCGTCTTTCCCTGAGTAGACCGTTGATTGCTCAGGCAGGTGACCACCAGCTCAGGGACCCTCCAGTCTTACTCCCACCTTGACCTGGCATCTTCTCCTTGCTCCTTTCCTGCCTTGGCCTAGTTTTTGTTTGGAGCCACTGTGTTTTCCTAAAATAGAGCCAACCCAGCAGGCACAAGGTACAGCCCAGGGTAGCCTGGACACATTGGAGGCCCCTACAAAAACAGTGGGCACAGTGCGTCTCCTTATTGTCCAGGACTAAAGTAAGTTGCAGAAGGGTCAAAGACCTCCATGTGAAAATTTAAGAAATTAAATCATCTTGGGGTAGAAAAGGATTCTCAGAGCATCTAAGCAAGAGGGGGAAAAAAAACCCAGCTGAGAAGATGGAGATTTGATTCGGGAGTGTTGAACACAGGTATAGAAATCACCGAAGGGTGAGGGCCCATGATGCCCATGTGGACAGCCTATCCTGGGCACCCCTGTCCAGCACCCCTGCCCCATCTGCCATGTACCTTCATCTTCTGGTGAATGACAACACCTCCTTCCCCGCATCCCAACCTGGTCCACAGGTCAGTCCAGCTTCCCTGGACACCTGCCATGGGTGGTCCAAGGACGAATGTCAGACCAGGCACCTCTGGCTGCTGGAATCTCAACCCCAAGCTTGGAGACCCCAGTGGTGCCCAGGCAGACCTGGATTACTCTGGCCCCACCTTGGTCTCTGTTCCTCAGCCCCTGCAGCACCTGAGAGGTCACCTGTCCCCACCCTTTTATCACCTCCCATTCCACACCCACAGGCTCTCCCATCACTTCAGCCAGAGACTGTTTCCATTGCTGTAACCCTTGGTCCCCTCAGAGGCACCCAATGTCTGAATATTTCTTTTTCTTCATATGTTAATGGATTTCATCCATTCATATGGATATATATATACAATGAACTTGGGTCATATTCACCCCATTGCCCTCTTTTGTCTCCCCTGCCCTCTCCTAGATGTCCTCTTCTTCCCAAATAGTCCCCCTTCTACTTTCATGCCCTCTTTTTAAAAATCCAGATCATACTATGAAAGAAATTTTGAGGTATTTGTCTTTCTAAGTCTGGCTTGTTTCTCTTAACGTGATGATCTCCAGTTCCAGCCATTTTTCTTCAGTGGACATGATTTCATTCTTCGTTATGGCTGAATAATACTCCATAGGGTCTACATATCGTGTTTTCTTTATCCATTCATTTGTTGATCACCTGGGTTTGATTTCCATAGCTTGGCTGCAGTAATCATGGGTGTGCAGGTGTCTCTGTTGTATGCTGGCTTACATTCCTTCGGGTGTGTACCCAGGAGTGGTATAGCTGGATCATGTGATAGCTCTAATTTTAGTTTTTTGAGGAACCTCCACACTGATTTTCATAGCTGTTGCATTAATTTACCTTCACACTAACCGTGTGTGCAGGGCTCCTTTCCCCCATGCCCTCACCAGCATTTGTTGTTTGCTTTCTTGATGATCGACATTCTGACAGGGTGAAAGGGAATCTCAGTGTGGTCATGATGTTTATTTCCCTGGTGGCTGAGGATGGTGAACATTTCTTCATGTGTGTATTACCATTTGTGATTCTTTTCAGAACTGTCTCCAATTCATTTGTTCATTTATTAACTGGGTTATTTGTTCTTTTGGTGTTTAACTTTTTCAGTTCTTTATATATTCTGTATATGAATCCCCTTTCAATAGCTGGCAAAAATTTTCTCCAACTCTGTTGACTTCCTCATCACTCTGTAATTGTTTCCTTATCGATGGAGAAACTTTTTAATTTGATGCAATCCCATTTATCAATTCTGGCTATTAATCTTGAGCTTCTGGAGTCCTGTTCAGAAAGATTTTGTGTGTGCGTATGTCTTGAAGTGTTTTCCCTCTATTTTCCCCTAGCAGTTTCAAAGTTCTGGTCTTACTTTTTTTTTGGTGGTGGTACTGGGGTTTGAACTCAGGGCCTTATACTTGCTAGGCAGGCGCTCTACCACTTGAGCTACTCCACCAGCCTTTTTTTGTGTTGAGTATTTTCTAAGATTGGTTATCATAAAACATTTGCTCCAGCTTCAAACCATGATCCTCCTAATCTCTGCCTCTTGAGTAGGTAGCATTACAGGCATGAGCCACTGGTGCCTGGCATTTTGAGTTGATTTTTGTGCAAAGTGAGAGATAAGAACAAATTTCAGTCTTCCACACGTGGAGATACAGTTTTCCTAGCACCATTTATTGAAGAAGCTGCCTTTTTTTCCAACATAGTTTTGATACCTCTGTCAAAAAATCAGGTGGAATTAGGTGACTGTAGCTGAGTGGATTTATTTCTTGGTTCCCCATGCTATTCCACTGGTCCATTTGTCTGTTGTGTACCGGTATCATGCTTTTTTGTTCCTGTGGCTCTGCAGTATAATTTGAAGTTAGGTTCTGTGGCATCTGTAGCATTGCTCTTTCAGCTCAGAATTAGATTGACTGTTTCTGGTCTTTTGTGCTTCCATGTGAATTGTAAGCCTTGTTTTTCCTATTTCTGTGAAGAATCATCATTGGAGTTTTGATGGGAATTCCATTGACTCTATAGATCGCTTTTGATAACGAAGTCATTTCCATAATATCAATTCTGCCTATCCATGAACATGGGACGACTTTCTGCCGTTTAGTGTCTTCTTTAATTTCTTTCTTCAGTGTTTATAGTTTTCATTGTAGAAGTCTTTTGTGTCTTTCATTAGGTTTAGTCCTAGATATTTTTAGGCCATTGTGAATAGAATTGTTTTCCTGATTTCTTTTTTGGCATCCTTGTTATTGGCGTGGAGAAAAGCTCCTAATTTGCTATGCTGATTTTGAATCCTGCTACTTTTCTAAAGTGTTTATCAGATCTCAGATCTAAGAGTTTTCTTGTGGAGTCTTGGGGTAGTGTAGGATTATATTTCTGCAAATAGGGATAATTTGAGTTCTTCTTTTTCTATTGGTATTCCTTTAATTTTTCTTTCTTTATTGCTCTAGCTAAAAATTTCAGTGCTATGTTGAATAAATGTGCAGACAACTGCTATACTTGTCTCATTCATGAATTTAGAGGGAATGCTTTCAGTTTCTCTCCATTCAGTGTAATGTTGGTTATAGGTTTGTTGCACAAAACCTTCATGAGGTTGAGGTATGGTCCTTTTATTCCTAGTTTCTTCAGGACTTCTAACATGAAGGGATGTTGAATTTTGTTAAAGGCTTTCTGTGATTCTTTTGAGATGATCGTGTGATTTCCCCCCTTGGTTCTGTTTAAGTACTGTATTATATTTATTGGTTTATGTATGTTGAACCACCCTGGCATTCCTGGAGTGAAACCGATTTGATCAGGGAGTAAAGTCTGTTTAATGTAATATGCTGTTGAACTTGGTTTCCAAATACTTCATAGAGGATTTTTACATATAGTCATCATGGATATTGGTCTATAGTTTTCTTTTTGAAATGTTTTTATTAGCATATACTAGTTGTCTGGGGG